TAACAATCCTAATGGCATAAATTGGCACCATTTTCCTCTAGAGAGTAGTTATGTCTGTCTTACTTGCGCTATAAGATGCTACTGATCTAGAACCACTCTAGTCCCCTTAGAAAGTATTGGCTTAATATGAGAGTCTCAGGTTTCCCTCCCACTCCTATGCCATCAAATCTTCTGAATTCATCACATGTGAGTATCTGCCCCAAGGTAACTTGACTTTGAAATTTGCTTGTAGGTGACTCCTCATTGTTTTCTCGTTGTTGTTCTGTATCGTTTTGTTTTGAGACAGAGTCTCACTCTGTCGCCCAGACTGGAGTGCAGTGGCAGGACCTCAGCTCACTGTAACCTCTGTCTTCTGGGTTCAAGCGATTCTCATGCGTCAACCTCCTGAGTAGCTGGGACTACAAGTGTGTGCCACCATGCCCGGCTAATTTTTTGTATTTTTAGTAGAGATGGGGTTTCATCATGTTGGCCAGGCTGGTGTGTTGAACTCCTGACCTCAGGTGATCCGCCTGCCTCGGCCTCTCAAAGTTTAGGATTATAGGTGTGAGCCACCGGCCTAGCCTCTGTGGATTGTTTTCATGAACAATCTTGTCTCCACTAAGGCTGTTTGAGATCTACTTTGTTGTCTTCACAAGAACAGAATTTTCTAGGTATGTTGAATCCATTTCAGTTTCTTCAGCATTCCTTTTTATGCTCTAACTCACCTACATTTATTTGCATATGTGTTTTTTCCACCTAAAGTAGCTTTCACCAGATTCTTAACTTGAACCCTACTTGCTTTTCAGTACTCAGTTCTGGCATACACGGTCTGGGAAGACAATTTTTGCCATACCTGCACAGACACATGTATGCAAACACAAATCTTCCTCTTTGCTTTAATTGCCTGTTGTCCATACAACCATTATAAAACTTATCACATTCTGCTTGTGTTTATTATCTCATTTCATACCCCTACTAGAAGGTGAATTCCTTTCAGTACTTTCTAGAATTCACCTTCTAGTAGGGGTATGAACACATCACACCACACCGGGCTAATTGTTAAAAATTTTTATTAGGGACAGGTGCGGTGGCTCCTGTAATCCCAGCACTTTTGGAGGCCGAGGTGGGCAGATCACAAGGTTAGGAGTTCAAGACCAGCCTGACCAATATGGTGAAACCCAGTCTCTACTAAAAATACAAAAATTAGCTGGGGGGTGGTGGCGGGTGCCTGTACTCTCAGCTACTCTGGAGGCCGAGGCACGAGAATCACGTTAACCCAGGAAGCAGAGGTTCTAGTAAGCTGAAATTGCGCCACTAAACTCCAATCTGGGTGATAGAGAGAGACTCCGTCTCAAAAAAAAATTTATTAAAGACAAGTTTTTACTTTGTTGCCCAGGCTGGTGTTGAACTCCTGGCCTCAAGCAATCCTCCCACCTTGGCTTCCCAAAGTGCTGGGATCATAGGTGTGAGCCACCCTGCCTGGCCCTGTATTTTTCCAAGTACCTACAATATAAATTCATTCGGAGTTGTTCAGTGAATAAATATTTAGATAGTAGAGAAATCAGTGTCAGCTGAGTGGGTAGATTAGGCTGCCTAGGAAAGCTGGATGTTAAAGTGGATTCTGAAAGAGCAGTAGTGCATGGATCAGCATTTCTGGAGGAAGAGCATAAACAAAGGCGTAGAGGTAGCATGGGAGAAGAAAGACAGAAAAGGCCTCAAGAGAACAGCAGGTAGGGAGTGGTTGAACAGCCTGAGCAGATCAGGTGCATTGGGAAAAAGCCTAACAGCTAAGTTGGAGAATTTAGGCTGGATTCAGTAGGCAAGAGAGGTGCATAATTTGAAGATTTGAATTACCTGGCAGTGAAATAAATGCATTGATGGAAAACCTAGAGTTGTGAGGAACAATAGGAGGACTTTAAGAAAAGGGGGAAAATGAAAGAGAGTTATATGGTAGAAAAACAATGAATGTAATTTGTTAGTGTTCTTATTTGGAAAATATATATATGTATATAATAATAAAATAATATTAAGTATACTCAGAATGTAAAGACTTTATATAAAATGGACCTATATTTTTGAAAGCTAATTGACTATTTCTAATTTTGCTTCCTGAGACCTCCACCAATTATTCTGTAACTGCCCAGACATTCAAGGTGTTACTTGTTTGTATATATACCACTGTATCTCAACATTACTTTCGAGAATTTTTGCCAGACCTGTGTCTTTGATACGACTGTAAAAAAAAACAGGTATATGCATATATTACTCTTCTTTAACATGAAGTTCATTTAATTGAAAAGTACGTACTATAAGCATAAACACAGCTGAATATACATTGAAAACTGGTAAAAGAACATAGTTTTAAAGTAATTGATAATTATGTAAAATTTTATTATAAACCAAAGTGATTTTTTGAATGTTGCTATTTATACTCTATAGAGTAACCTGATTTAAGAATTAAATAATTTTTCCTAATTAGAAGATCAATGTTACTTACAGATTATAAAATATCTAGATATTTTTGAATGTATATACATGCACATATGTATGTATAATTAAGAATATGCATATATGTTACTTTCATGAAATATGATGACTAAATGAAAGTAGAGTTAATTCATGAGCAGGGAAATACCCAGTGTTCCAGCCTTGTCTTCTCAGCCATCCATTCCCTTGAGAAGGCAAATTTTGTTCAGACATAAAAGAAAAATGTACTATTAAAATGCAATTCAGAAGTGATAAAAATTGTAAGTGCAGCAGCAGGCTCACAGCACCTCCTTTGTATACTCAGGGACATTGGGGCCACATTAATTTTTGTGTGTGTGATGTCCATCCCATGTGTGAATTAGCACTGGAAGGACCATAATCTATCTTATATGAGAGCTTTTTTCCCAAGAGCATATGTAATACATGCTTCTGTAACTTTGTATAATTCAAAGCTCTGTATTCTGGGTTTTTTTTTTTTAATAGTGTTAGAAAATATTTTCTTAGGAAAAATATTAAGAAGGAATTTATTAATATTAATAAAGAAATTGCGGAGAGATATTAAAATTGATGAAAGAATGCTACTTTTTTCTAAGTTTATTAAATGCCAAAAAATAATTTTCAATTGAATTTAGATTTTTGAAAACACCCTCCTTTGTCTTAACTAAATGAGATCATCTGCATGAAAATTTTGGCAGATAGTAATGGCTCAATAAATATATGTTCAACCTCAACCTCTTTTTAAAGTCTGAATTTTAGAATATTTTTCTCAGGAGAATGTTTTATTTTTCTATGTATAGTTTTTTATTTTCCAGAGCTTCCGCTTTTCTCCAAATGGTTTTTTAATCTAAAAAAGCATCCAAATTTTATTTCATTAATACCATATCTCCTTTGATTTTATGCATTAAAAATTTCTGAATTTACCCTTTTGCTGCATTAGGATGTCTTTTTCTTCCAGCTGATTCCTTATGCTTGGATTTGTATCCTTCTTCCATGTTGATTATTTTCCCGCTGCTAATCCATTCTTAAGTTTCTATTAAAAGAGGAAATGTAAAAATTAGATTAGAAACTCTATGTGTGTAAAAGAGTGGCTTTTTGGCAGATTTTATTTTACTCTCATACAGCCTTTTAATCAAAACATCCCTAGATTGTTGATAGTTGAACTCATTTCTCTGGGAACTGTCACATTTTCTGAAGATGCAATCAGGATATAAGTCCAAGCTGCCAGTGCACTTAAGAGATGAGCAAGGGAAGAGTTCAATGGGTAGACTTTGGGTTAAAATCTACATATTCCATTTGGTGCTTCCCCTTGGCCTTCCTCTGTACCTGCTTTCCTTGAGACTAGAGCTTCTTGGTGTAAATTTTTCTAAGAATAGGTTGTTATGGATACATGGACTGGGACATGGACCTGGGGATTTCATTACTGCTTACATAGACTTGCAATTGTTTTCAGCTTCATTTTTTCTCTCACTTTCTGCAATAACTGTAGATTTAGTTCCAGAATCTTTCCGTGGTTCTTCAGGACAAACTGCCCTGTTTCTCTTTGACATCTCACTCTTTCGGCACTTAGATTTCAGCTCTCTTAACTCTTTTGTGTCATTTATGAATTCCCTATCTTCCTTCCACCTGGTAAAAATTAATTGGTATTTTCAATTGCTCTTTCTTATTTTCTGTTGTATTTCTTCTTACAGAAACTTTTAAAAATTTTTCTTTACTCTTATTTCAGTGTGTTCTGTGAGGTATCTGGGTTATACTGAAAGCATGAGAGTTTTTATATGGGTTTTAAAAGTTTGGTCTTTTCTGTTGATGATAAAAATATCTAAAGTAATGATGATGATGATGATACCGATTGCTGCAGCAGGTTGTTTTGATTTTTGTGTCTGCTTTTAGCACCAACATTATTTATTGGACACGTTCTTTTCAGCCTCCATGTTAAATACCTTACATAAATTAAGTTGTTCATTCATTGTACTAAACCTATATGGAAGTCAAGGCTCATTCAGGTAACTTGCTCATTCAGGTAATACAGCTAGCAAAGCAGAGCTAAGATGTGATTACAGGTCTGGCTGACTTGAAGGCCCCATTATTCATAACTGCTGCCAATAATGCTACCATTATTTAAGTGACTTAAGATTAAAGAAAGCCTACTTCAATGAGAATCAACTGTACTGGCTGTCCTTTTGGCTTAGAGATACTATTTTTAAATTAAGAACATTTTCATTATATGATGAATTTTGAGTTTTTGGCATAATTAATTCATAAATGTATTATGTAACACCTATCTATATAAAATACTTGAGACTCACAAAAATTCTGTGAAGAACATTTTAGTATCTCCATTTGCAGAATAGAAAATAAAGATGAATAGAAACTATAACACAGATGCTCAGTGGCAGAGGTTGAAATGGAATCTGGGTATTCTGATTCTAAATCATGTATCATTTTCACTGCACTATAATACTTCTCCAAATCCTTATTTTTAAAACCAAATGTCTCTAGAAATCAGGTTAATAACATCTCCTAAATATGTCTTTCAGGTTTTTGCCATTTTCTTCATACCATAAAAATGAAAAGTACATCCCATCAATGCATTTATCAAGCAAGTACAGTCCCATTTCTCACAAAGAACAATTCCGAAGTGAAGATCCTAAGAAATGGATCTGTGACAAGGTAAGTTAACAAAACATTTTGAAAAGTTACTCCTTTATTTAGAAATGCACATTAATTACAGCAAATATAAATATTCTTATTACAGTTAAGACCTTTACGGTAACAAAATTATTTATAGCTGTTTTAAGTAAAGGTGATACTGCTGACCTATGTAAGATTTTTTTTTCAGTATTACATTCTCAAGTTTTATGACTTAGCTGCCCTAGGATTAATGGCATGGATCATTGGCATTGGCATATAACCAGGGTCAGCGCTTGAGTATGAGGTCCCAGAATGGAGTCAAGCTAACTCTCGGGCATGGAGATCGGAGCTTGTTTGCTCTCTCTCAATCTATGTGTATATATTTATAGATAGATAAATAAAGGGAGGTAGAGAAGATGTGCATTATATAAAACATGATACATAACATACATTTAGCATGCACATATGTATATGTGCAACTCCTGAGTGTCATATGCACTTTCATAACAGGTACAGGACGTATATGTGGCACATGTGTGATATACTAGTCTGTACTCAGGTTGCCACAACAAAGTACTGTAGTATATGTGGCTTCAACCATAAACATTTATTTTCTCACAATTCTGGAGGCTAGAAGTCTGTGATAACTGCCAGTGTAGTTTCGGGTGAGGTTTTCTTCCTGGCTTGTTGGCAGCTGCCATCTCCCTGTGTGTTCATATGACTTCTTTCTGGGCAGAGAGAGAGAGAGCAGGCTCTCTCATGTCTCTCCCTGTAAGGGCACTAATACCAAAGGACCAGGACCGTATCTTCATGACCTTATTTAACCTTGATCACCTCCTTACAGGTTCTATTTTTAATACAGTCACACTGCAGGTTAGAGTTTCGCCATATGAATTTTAGGAAAACACAATTCAGTTCATAGCCTTCATTCATGGCCCCCAAAACTCATGCCCTCTTGAATGCAAATATATTCTTTCCACCTCAAAAGCCATAAGACTCTTAATTCATTCAGTACCTACTCTAAAGTCTGAAGTTTAAAGTCATATCTAAATCACAGGAACATGACAAGGATGCCCACTCTTACAATTGCTATTCAGTATAACACTGGAAGTCCTAGTCAGAGCAATTAGGCAAGAGAAAGAAAGAAAAGGCATCTACACTGGAAAGGAAGATGTAAAATTGTCTGTTTGCAGATGACATGATCTTAAATATTAAAAACCCTAGAGACTCCACCAAAAGACTGTTAGAACTAATAAACAAATGTTCATAGGTTTCAGGACACAAAATTAACATATAAATATTAGTCGCATTTCCATACACTAACAGCAATTGTCTCAAAAAGAAATCAAGGTAATAATCCCATATAGGAATGAATTTGACTAAGGAAGTAAAAGATCTGTACATTGAACACCGTAAAATATTAATGAAATAAATTAAAGAAGACACAAATGAATGGAAAGATATTCTGTGTTCATGGACTAGAAGAATTTAATATTGTTAAAATGTCCATACAAACAAAGTAATCTATTGAGTCAATGCAATTCCCATCAAAATTCCAATGTCATTTTTCACAGAAATAGAAAAAATAATCCTTGGCCAGGCATGGTAGTTCATGCCTGTAATCCCAGCACTTTGGGAGGCCAAGATGGGCAGATCACTTGAGATCAGGAGTTCAAGACCAGCATGCCCACCAAGGTTTCAATTAGGATGAATAGTTCTGGAGATCTATTATACAGCATGGTGACTAAAATTTATAATATATTGTATACTTGAAAATGACTAAGAACATAGATATTAAATGTTATTATCACAAAACAGAAATAACTATGCTACATGTTATGGATATGTTAATTAGCATGATTGTGGTAATCATTCACAATGTATATGTATATGTGTATCACATATATGCATATGTGCACTGTAAATATATACAATTTTTATAAGTCCACAAAAAATACATGAGAAGATGCTTAACATCACTAATCATCAGGGAAATGCAAATAGAAACCATAATGGGATATAACATTCACATGTTAGAATGGCTATTAACAAAAAGACAAATGATAACATGTATTAGCAAGGATATCCTGTGTTCATGGACTGGAAGAATTTAACATTGTTAAAATGTTCATACAAACAAAGTGATCTGTTTATTTACTGCAGGTGTATTTAATTTGTCAATTACACCTCAATAAAGCTGTGGAAAAACAAAGAGCTACCAAGAAATACCATATCATCAGATATGGGTGAAACATGCCTCATCTTGAGGCAAACTTCCTCTCTAGCTGTGAACCTGTGAAACCAGAGAAGTTATATGCTTCCAAAACGCAATGGTAGGGCAGGCATAGAGGAGACATTTCTATGCCAAAAGGGAAAAAATGGAAAAAGGAATGGATGATGTGTCCTAGTGAAGTCTAAAGCCTAAAAAGCCAAATTCTATTTGATGTTAAGACTTGAAAATAATCCTTTTTTTCAATGTTTTGCTCCCCAGTTCCTCGGGGATGGCAGGGTCACCCTTATGGCTCTGTGGGTGAGGCAGATTCTCTCTGCAAGGGCACTGCCCATGTGGCTCCCTGTAAAGGTGGGTCCTGCCCTAGAGGTGCTGAACAGGATCATCCTGCCCTGCAGAAACTGGAGAGGCAGCCCACCCTTTGAAACCTAGAAGGAAACACTCCTGCTCCCTGGGCCTCTTTCGAGAGTAGCAGCCCCATTGATCTCCGAAACCCTTTAGGGGTATTTCTTCTTTTTTCTTGAATAGTGGTCCAGTCCTTGTAGAATCCAAGAAGTCCCAGAATCTGCCTTAATTCTATTCTGCTTTCTCTGTACCATTTAATTCAAGCTCTTAGTGTCTTAGCTGGTATCATCTTATCTCTGTTCCTGGCTTCTGTCGAGAGAGCTGATGAAGTCCCTGAGTCCCATCATCTCTTTATCTATTAGTCAAGAACTTTTTCTAGGTACTGGAAGTAAAAAGGTATATAAGATATTGTTTCTACCATGTTATGTGTTTCTTTAGCAATATGTTTCTACTCTAGCTCAAAACCTAGCACTCAAGATTGTTGTATGACCTCATTTAATCTTACTCGCCTTCTTAAAAGCTCTGTCTCCAACACAGTCACACTGAGAGTTAGGCTTCAACCTATGAGTGGCGGTGGGAGTGGGTACAAAATTCAGGCTATACCATGTAACATAGATGTTATATATGCAACATATGTATAGCATGGTGACTATAGTTAATAATAATGCAAACATACATATACATATTTATCTTTGTGCTGAACTTACAGATAGGAAAAAAATGAAGTCATGTCCTTTGCAGCAACATGGATATAGCTGGAGGCCATTATTCTAAGTGAATTAAGGCAGACATAGAAAATCAAATACTGCATGTTCTTTTTTTTTTTTTTTTCTCTTTACATGTTCTGACTTATAAGTGGGAGCGAAACAATGAGTACACATGGACATAAAGATGGAAACAATAGATACTGGGGTCTGAAAAAGAGGAGAGGGAGGAAGTGGGGCAAGAGTTGAAAAACTACCTATTAAGTACTATGTTCACTATTTGAGTGAAGGGATTAATAAAAGTCCAAACTCCAGTATTACATAATATATACATATAACAAATCTGTATACATACACCCTGAAATGAAGAAAAAAAATAAACATATAAAAGGAAACCATATTACTATCTAAGGACATTCCTAAGAAAGTTTGCTTTTTTGAAAACATTTAGTGTAATCATCATTACACTACATATTCTGCAAAATTTAAATGTTATGGTTCATTGTATTATGTTTTATATCTCTAGCTTTTTAATTTAATTTTTGGCTTAAAATAAAACTTTGAATGGATCTGAATAAATAGGTTAATGTATGCGTATATTCCTTGCCCATATTATAATTCAATAAGGGCTTCAGAATTAAGAACATTAGTCAGAAAACATGATATATAAAGGAAGAAAGAAAATAAATATTTCTTAGCTGATTTCAGAATATATTTTACATCTTAAATAAAAATGTCTGAATTGGGAAAACATGTCTTCGGACATGTTTCGGAATGTAGTAAGCAAGTTCTTACTATGCACTTAACCCGTTGTTTCTTGTCGGGAGAAAATATAATGTCTTTTCTTTCCCTCATAGATTTGTAGTTGAGATACCTTCCTGAAAAGTTAGATTAACAGAGAAAAACTCAGCTGACGTGTATTAACACATGCTGTACCCATCACATGGGAGAGGCCTCAGTTCAAAAGTATTTCTCTCTCAAGGCAGTGGCATAGGGCCTTGCATAGTACTTTAATAAAGAGTTATACATTCTATATAGTGACAAAACAAAGAATACAGTATCTCTAGACTTCCAAAAAGCAGGAAAATGTGGGAAGATACATTCGTGGAAAGAGCAAAGTCTCCTCCAGGATCTTCTGGCACCACTGTCTCTGAGTTCTGCTTCTGAGCTGATAAGCAAGTGTTGTAAAAGTGCCTGCCTTTAGGTGGGAAAGGCAAAGAAGAAGCGCAGAATGTGTCCCTGCATTTTAACCTTATTCTTCTTTCTTCTTCTTTTTTTTTTTTTTTTTTTTTTGAGATGGAGTCTCGCTCTGCTGCCAGGCTGGAATGCAATGGCACGATCTTGGCTCATTGCAACCTCCACCTCCCGGGTTCAAGCGATTCTCCTGCCTCAGCCTCCCTAGTAGCTGGGACTACAGGCCCATGCCACCACATCCAGCTAATTCTTATATTTTTAGTAGAGACGGGGTTTCACCATATTGGCCAGGATGTTCTCCATCTCTTGACCTCATGATCCACCTGCCTCAGCTGCCCAAAGTGTTGGGATTACAGGTGTGAGCCATCACGCCCAGCCTAACCTTCTTTAGCTCAGTGATCCCCAGTATTTCAGAGAGGAATATTTTTGTTTCCTTCACTAACAATTAAAACACACACACACACACACACACAC